AAGTACTTTAAAGTGCATAAATAAGTTACCCGGGCAATTGATTTGCACAAGCCAATCAGACGAATTTCAGCCCATGAATTTACATTAATTACCGAATCTTAAGTTATATCAATTTGAATCTATTATGCCGAAATTACAAACTTAATAATTTTTATCCGGTGTTCTAGAAATTATAATAATGATAAAATTTGACCCGGCCGGAATATGAGAACCAAAAAAAAAAAAACCAATAACTTTGATTGGCCTTAATCTAAAATATTTGAAATAGGTTTAATTAAATGTAAAATTTGTAAATATTTAAATTTCTACTGTTTTTTTACCAAAAATTTATTTGCATAATTTTTTTGTTGTGAAATTACCGTAATTTTTCATGTATATAGTTGTAATTTTTTATCACATGATGTATGGCTTCTACGATCAAGTTTTCGGCGATTTGAGGAAAATCAAATAGCAAGCCGAACTTTTGTACTTTATATAAAACATGATAAAAATTACATGAAATTTGATTTACTGAAATTTACGTAAAAATACATGTATTGTAAGATTGTACCTTTCGTAACACAACCCTACATGTAGTGTCTATACTTTACAATTAAAATTTTTTTTTCGATATCCTTTACATGAACCACATAATTATCTGTTTAAAGTTTTGAACCGGTGATATATGTTATAAAACCGGTTTTAATACATGAAAAATGAAACCGGTTCCAAACTCCGATCTGTTCTCTTCCGTGACTCTGATTTACGTAGACCTGATCGGTCGGATACATAATGACCAATCATATTGATAGACATCGGACGTCGTACGTGTACGTACAACATTATATCAGCTTTGTCTCTATACTTAAAATTATAGTTTATCAACATCGATAGTTAAAAGAATCATATTTACATCTGATTGGTAGCTTACGTATCTACCAGAAGAAATAATTAATCTTATCGTTATATCGTCATTATTACTGTATTAATATATACATTTTTTATTAAAAAAATTTTTTTTTTTTTTACTATATGATATATAGTTAATTTTACAATAAATAAATGATAAAAATTTATACTGTATAAATAAACTAAATTTAATTTCTATTTTAGTTATAAATCCAAACTTTAAAATTAGTAATAAAGTTTTAACACAACAAATTAAAATTACAATATTAAATATTTACATCATGAGGCTAAAAATTATACAGTTGACACTCTTTAAGTCATCTTTAAGTGTAGAGGAAAAGTAAATATGAAGAATCCAACTATGATCCAATTATTAAAAATAGGATCATGAAGGATTATGAGTAATCTAAATAAAAAAATATTATTATGGATGAAATATATACACTTAAAGAGTATCGACAAATCAAGAGACAAAAAAGAAATAATATAAAAATTTTATTTATTTTTATTTAAATGATTTTTGATCTCACCTGAAAAGTAATTAATACATCAAGAAAAATACACGTAGCAAAATACCCACAATTATATGAGACGAATGTTCCTTATAAATATATTATTCAGAATAAGTAAAATCCGATTACGTATATACAAATTCATTCGCTATTCAAACCATAAATACAACAAAATAAATAAAATTCAAAAAAAGGGACAAAAGCCAAAAATCATAAAAATAACAACAACAACCAAATTTTTTTATATTAACATACCTTAAATATTTTATTTGATAGAACGAAAAGCCATAGATTCAGTAGTTAAAACATCAGCGGCTACAATAGAATTAGTAACAGCCGAACCAATTTGGTCAACAGTTTTTGCATGATCCGATAAAATGCCCCATTCTTTTGAATCTTCATAACCAGCACCAAAATCATCATCCAAAACTTCAGGATGATCTTGAGCGTATTTTGCGAAAACTCTTTGTAAACTTTCAATCATAGGATTTCTATACAAAGATATAGCAACGTGTTCACGATTTATTCGTTCGATAGCTCTAGTTAATCTACGTTGATTATGAGGATGAATAATGTAATTTTCATCATCAGCAAGAAAAGAATCACGTTGAAGGTTGATTTTTTGTTGAGTTCGAGAAATAGCATTACTCGAAGGAGGAAAACGGGATTGGAAATAATCAAGAGAGTCAGAAGCGTAAGCCTCGTCAAAAGTAGGAGGATTTAAATCGAATTGATCATTAAGAGTAATATGTTGAGGAGGAGGAGTGGAATAAGGAGAAAAATGGTTATTATTTGAGTTGACACCATCATTCAAACGAGTATTAGATATCATTTCTACAGGTGAAGATATAGGGGTAGTATCAGGAGAGTTTAACAGAGTATTAATAGTAATCTTTGTTGAAGCAGAAGCAGTAGTTTGATCATTCGTTGTTGTAATGGTAGCATTAGTTGTAACGGGAGTAGTGGTTTGAGGTTGATCAGTAGTTGTTGTAATGGTAGCATTAGCAGTCTCGGGAGCAGCCTGAGAAGGATCATTTTGAGACATATTTGATTGACCGTTTGAGTTTAACGGACTGTTTGGTTCGGATAAATGATTCTTTTCAGCAACAGATTGTTGAGTAGATTCTTGAATAGGTTGTTGAATAGGTTCTTGAATAGGTTCTTGAATAGGCTGTTGAATAGGTTGTTGAATAGGTTCTTGAATAGGTTGTTGAATAGGTTGTATAGGTTCTTGAATGGGTTGTTGAATAGATTTTTTAGAAGAAGCACTCGATGATATACTATTATTACTATTATTATTATTATTATTATTATTATTAGGAACGGTATCAGGAGAAGAATTTGAAGTACTAGAAAGATTAGCTAGATTCTCTGAAGATTCCATGACGAAAAAACGGAGCGAGATTAAAAAAAAGAAAGGAATACACTTTATATTCACATGATTAATGTGTTATATCTGACATGTAATGTCAGTGACACAACTTTTTATCTCTTTATTGTATCACACGGGTATCACGAAAAAATCTAAATTACCGTATATACAATAATCATTTGTTTCATTTGTTTTCATTTGTTTCACGAAATATATGTATGAAATATATATATATTAAAAAAAAAATTTTATAGCTTTTATTTTATTTTATTTTTGGCGTTATTTATTTTTTTTTGATTTTTCTAATGCTTGCAATTGAATACTACTACCTTCACGAACAAATCGACAAATCGACCAGAGCGGTCTCCTAAGTAGGGATAGGAATCGGCTATATGATTTAGTCGACTAAATCGACTAAACATAGTAATTTATATATAAATTTTTTAGTTGACTAAATCGATTCCTATCCCTAACTCCTAAGATGCGCTGCATTTTTGAGAACATGGACATTTATGAAATTGTCCATATTTTTTTTTATTACAGTATTAGACGAATGCTTATTATTCCGAAATATCCCGAAACATTCCGAAATATTCCTAATAGAAAGTCATTGGTTGAAAGATTTTGGATCACACACTTTTTCACTGGCCAATCAGATTTCAAGATCAGGTGTGACGCAAAAAAATAAACCATTTTCTGCGCACTAACAAAAAGTTTCCTTGCTCTTTATAACCTAACTTATATTAGCAGAACCTAACCCTAATCTAACAGCGAAATTTTTTAGATTGGTAACACAAAATTTTTATTGGATATAGTCCACAGTTCACAAATTAGTGTCGGCAAGGAAAAACCTCGAACCGGAATTATAATTTATTATTGCCGGTTCGAGATCGATGTGCGATAACTTGTAATACCTTTGTTAGACATTATATCTATTGGATTTTATATAGTAAATTTAATTGATAACCATTTAGTATTACAGTATTACCAAGTTCATTGTCGTTTTTTTTACTTAACAAATTTGGATATGCAACATGTGGAAAAATCTAATCGAAATAATTATGCCTTTCTGCAGGAGAATCTTTTGTCCATGCTTTCGACTTCCTTGACTAGTTTTTAAATATGATAATTTTCACTTACCAAACGGAAAGGAAATTACCCCTTTAAAAAATGCTGTAAAAACAAAGTTCGCGACTGTACGCGTATTGTTTTTTTTTTTTTTTTTTTTTTTAAAGAATTTATACAATAATTTATACAATAAATAATAATTAAGGTAAAGTAATTCTTAAAGTAGTTCTTAAGAAGTAATTCTTAAGTATTAATGGTAAGACGTTATCTTGTATTCTTACCAATATTTTATTACTATTTTATTACTATTTACACAATACGTCTACTAAATGGTTTATATTAAATTTTGTACTACCCACCTACCTATCTGCTAATTACAAGAAATTTATTGTTCGTGTATTGAGGCAACATTGAGGAAATATTGAGGCAATAAATGAGGAAATATTGAGGAAATAATTGAGGAAATATCGA